GGTGATGCTGAAACTGTTAAGCCCTGTGTACCTTAACTTTTAAGGACAATCTGATATGTTCCAATTGATGTTAATATTAAACATTTTAAATAAATCTCTGGATCATTAACTAAAATGTTAGAAGCTTGATAAATACGTCATCCTAAGAGGAAGTCGTTTCTTCAAAGGGTAACAGGCACAAATCTCTAACCTCTTTTCAGCCAAGGCATAATTGCACATCGTGAGCCCAAGAAGGCTCTTTGGACATGTGCTCTGCTAAACCCTCTCTTTAAACCCTTGATCGTTAGCTCCCTAATTACACAGTTTATCAAAGCCCCATTAGCACTTTTCCTAAGCCCTGTACCATAGAGGTGATTCATATAAAATGAGGGTGGCAGGCTCACCAATTTCATTGAAATTTCCGAGTAGAATAGAATTGCAGTTCACCATTGTGTTATTTTCTTATAAACAGTTTATTATACTGTGGCATTCCTGCTACCCAGTCTAGCATTTAAATTTGTTTTACTAAGATATATGCAAACATGTTTGTGCACACACACACAAGTGTGTGTGTGTGTGTGTGTGTGTGTGTGTGTGTGTGTGTGTGTCCATGTATATTCTTTAAGTCAATTTTCACATCAGGAACTAGATCCAAATTGATATTTTTATATGAAGTAAAACAGTCTTAATGATAAATGAGCAGTGAGTTGTTTCCTAGGTTTTAGTACAGGATCAGTATTTGTTTTCATATATGTAAATAATAGTAAACCCAATTTGTGGAAGGCATATAATATATGAATGTTGCCTATATTCATCATCAAAGCATGTGTTATAACCACTTGGAATTTAAGTCAATGTGTTAAAGGGCATTTTCTTTTATGATTTGTCTTTCTGGAATGATTTCTATAAAAGAATAATGACCCATAAGCTTTTCACAGAATGTTCTCTCCAACATCCATTAAAATATATGAGAAAGGGAAAGGGAAAGAGAGGAGGGGAAGAGGAGAGAGAGAGAGAGAGAGAGAGAGAGAGAGAGAGAGAGAGAGAAGGAGAATACACCCAAGGGATCAAGAGATCCATTTTATTAAGCTTAATGAGAAAATTAAAGTGCAACCATTTGCATATCCCACCATAAGAGCTGAAGGCTCCATACCCCTGTGACGGGGAAGTCTTCTTAATGCCCTTATAGGTTCCATAACATATTCATCTGCAGCATATTTTCAAAACACATTTCTTTAAAAGCAATATTTCCCTTTTCATTATGCTACACAAAATTTTATTTTGAAGACATCGAACCAAACAGCATTATAGCTGTCACAGATAAAATGACAGCCAAGGAAGGCAAGGGGACCCTCACCATAGCTTATAGAGCTCATTCTTAGGACATTCACAAAGACACATTAAGGAATTAGGAAACTCCAGCGGCCTTGTCTAATCTTTGTTACAGTGATAAAGTTGCTTCAAAGGGAAATTTATATCAATTATTAAAATGTAACAGTCAAGCTGTGTCACCAATCTCTTCAAAGGAAGTTTTCTCTTGGACTTTTCCCATCCCTCTCAGTTATCTTCCAATAACCACCTACCTGCTCCAGTGTGGGCTGAGAATGGCTTTAATTTTGCCTTGGCTTTCATACAGCCCCTACTCTAAATGCCAGACTGGTCTGGGGACATTGAAAAATTGTGCAGCTTAAAGGAAGTTAAAGCATGCACTCCATCTTGGGAACCAAAGGCTGAGAGCCCCTACAATGATGTGTTACTTCCTCTGGGTATGTGGTCATACACTAGAGAATAATCATAAGTGTTTAGAAAAGTTGAGAATTATTCATGATTCCAGAAGAAAAGAGAAGGAGAAGGGTCTCTACTGGTCCTATATCCCTCATAAACACTTTCCCATTGATTGTGGGGACTGTGGTTTGTGTCTTTAAATCTCTGGGTATTCATAAAATGGCAAGAACTTCTTAGTTCCAGAAATGACTGATGCACGGTTCTTGCCTGAGTGTGTCTGAGTTACACTGTAAGTGTCTAGGAGAGTGTCACCAACACAAGGAGCTACAGTCTCTGTGTCACCTCTCTCTTCAAATCCTAGAGATGGAGAAAGGAGTGAGTTATATAATCAGAGCCCTCAAAGTAGAGATGTAGGTGATTTTCAGCCAGATGTGCTTTCCCCAGTGTCCCTGAAGGCAGCTGTTTTTTGTTTTGTTTTGCTTTTTTTTTAATTTAAAATACACACCACTATGTAGGGGAACCTGTAGCCAGCCCCTAAGTAGGCGTGGCTACAGCTTCCCCTCCCTACTTAGGGGCTGGCTACAGCTTCCCCTACACCACTACAAATTATCAAATAGTCTACATTAAAAGATATGAATAGCTTCCTTTTGACAGGATAACTCTTGATTTCATTATTAATCAACAAAAAAATTAAAAGTACTAAGTGCACTGCCTCTCCGAAAATATTTTTCACAATTTTTTAAAATTAAGAATTTATATTATGACCCAAGATGGCATAGGCCTGTAAGCCCAACATTCCAGAAGAGGCAGAGGAGGTTTAAGAGCTCAAGACTAGTGTAGACTACATGCCAGACACTGCCTCAAAATGAATGGATGGATGGATGGATGGATGGATGGATGGATGTTTGGATGGATGAAGGGACAAGTGAAATATGAAGGGATCAAAGAGAATTTATATTGTAAATTTCATCAGGTAAAATTATATCATCATTCTTTACTTTTAGATTAGGCCAACTGACTATGTTTTCTATCAAAAAATACAAAGGAGAACACAAAGGTTTGGTAGCCATCAAATTTCATACAGATGCTTATGTATTTCACAAAACAAGGAAAATCCAACATAAAAGAAACAAATTGCCAAGGAAGACAAACTGAAATGAAACTTGTTATTTTTTTTAAAATGTAATTTTAAAAATATGTGAGCACATTTAAAATGAAATTTTAATTTCATACACTTAGATCACACATTGGAAGACATTAGCATGTTACTACTCTTCAGTTTGGAAGCCCTAGTACAGTTGAGCTGCCATTTTTTTGTTTGTTGTTTGTTTTTGGTTTTAAGAGATAGGGTTTCTAGAAACTATGGAGGCAGTACAGGGAACTTGCTCTGTAGGCCAGGTTGGCCTTGAACTCATGGAGATCCCCCTGCCTCTGCCTCCTGAGTGCTCTAAGTAAAAGTGTGCACTACCCCACCTGGCTAGCTGCTATGTAAGAAGTCCCAACCCCTTCCAGGTACCGCAGTAGACCTGAATTAGCTTAAAGTTAGGGATTTTTAAGATTTCAAAAAAGCTGAGATAGCAGGAAAAACTCACTAAACAAACTGATTGAGAGAGGTCAGATGACACAAAATGGAAACACTGTTTCATCAAAACACCCAACAACATTTAGGTGCCTCGTCACAGATTGTTTAAGAAAGTGGGTAAGTGTCCGTATACAAAGACAGCTGTTTGAGATGTCTCTTCAGAAAAGGGCAGGCCTCCCACAGATATCAGCCAACCATGATATATCAAGTTGCAGTGAGACTAGGCACCTCCTCTCCTGTTAAGGCTGAACAGGGCAATACTGTAGAAGAAAGGGTCCCAAAAGCAGGTAACAGAGTCAGAGACAGCCCCTGCTTCCACTGTGAGGAGCCTCACAAGGAAACAAAGCTGCACAATTAGAACATTTGCACAGAGGGTCTAGGCTGGTCCCATGCAGAGTCTCTGGCATTTTCAAATCTTTACAATCAGTATTCTACAGTACTCTTGCCTTAACACTTAAATAATAAAGCATAATTAGCGTTTTATCTCAACACTAAAATAACAGAGGACAGTTAAGAGTTTTAAAGACTCTCTGTATTCACCGTATTGCAAATGAGAACACATCAGAGCTTCTGAAACTGGCCATGACCAAAACTCGGAGGTGGAATGAGTTCTTTGTAGCCATCGTTATTTTTCACATGTCATGGTGAGCACCATGTGAGGAGCTAGGAAGTGTTACTATATCTAACTTTCAGATTAGAAAACAGACATAGACAAAAGTTAAAGGTCATTCTCACAGGCAGGTGTAGATGAGTTTACATGTCTGTAAACTCATGTTTTCAACAACTTCATATCCACGGCATTATCTGCCTTTGAATCAATTATGGATGCATGTACAACAATTTGGACAGACATACTGGAGTATTCTTCGATAGTAAAATACTGTTCCTGGGATATTAATCTGTAGTTCAATTTTAAAATACTATAGGAAATAATAAACCGTGATTCACTCCATCCAGAAAAATAACATTTATGTTAACCCAGTGATAGAGAATATTGAAGTTCTGACACAGTTTCCTGATAACTTGCTGGATAATCAAAAAATATTGGAAGGGGGAATAAAGCCCATTACTCCTTGGACATAAATGCTCCAGGAGACTGACGGCTTTACGGCATTTGGGTGTTTTGCGCCATAATAACTGCCAAAGCAGATTGATGGGTGATCTAGTCCATTGACCGCCAATTGTTCCAAATTGACTAGAATTCAGCAATTTCAACATTTTATAGGCCACAATGAAAAGAGGCTTTATTTCTGCATCCTACCGGAGAGCAAGTAGAAACTTCCAAATTAAAGGGGAGCCTGACCTCTTGCAGAGGGAGTTCCAGTGGTGTAGAAACATCACAGAACTGAGGAGAAGACTTTGAGATCAACAGTGCACAGCCCCTCCTTGAGCCCCTCCTACTGGCATGGTGGGCATGGTGGATGACCTTCAGGCACCAAGTAGCAAGGTCACACAGTGATCTCACTGAATTATAAGGACAAAGCCAAGCAGTCAACAAAAAGACTGGCCTTTCTAAGGAACAGTGGCCAAGGATTTGAAAAACTAAAGTGACACTGATGGAAAGAAACACATTCCCATTGTATGTGGTCTTGTGTGTACCCTTATCAACTTTAGACAAAAGACTGAAGGAGAGGAAAGGAGTGATGGTCAGAGGCAATGGGAAGCACTGGGAAGGAGCGGACCCTGGGACGGAAGAAGACGAGACTCAACCTTCCTCATTTGATAACGTTCTCTTACACATCGGGGCACACTCCTCCCAATACTTATTACACTCATGATCCACAGAAATCTCCTACCTCCATGTCAAGTATACACTAAGAAACTAACTCAGAGGCTGTGAGAATTTCTCCTGCTGGTCTTGTCCATATTTTGTTGGTGATAGCCTTCCTCATATCCTGTATATTCATCCCAGGTTGACACTCACTGTTAGGATAAATCATGGACAGAATTTGTTGGGGTACAACTCTTGCTCACCCACTTTTTATGCATGTCACTGGCAGTGGATTGAGGGTACAGATAGCATACGAGCTCTAAATGCAAGGCACAGTTACAGTGGACAGATTCCTCAGCCTTCATAGCTCTGCAGTGACAACCTGAAGGAATAGCATTTAGAAGAATTTCCAGTCAGTTTTTGGGGAGCAGTTTCTGTCCATCACATTGTCTTCAGGATGCAAGGATGTTAAATTCACCAGAACTTACTTCAATTCATCCACGCCCATGCACACTGCCTTTCTCTCCTAAGAATGTAAGAGGAAAAATAATATAAAATATATCTCGTCTTCCAACAGTCTCCTAGAAGACAAACACTTTGCACTGTAAATAAGCTTTTTCCTCCATCTTCTGGCATGCTCACCAAGGTCTTTAGGCAATTTCACATCACAATAGACTTCTAAGCAAAAATGTCCAATTAAATTCAGCAATTGGTCGAATGCTATCTTTATTTTAACTTAAAGAAAGGAGCCAGAGTTTTAGCTTATATTCCATCTATTTTAATCTATTGAAGAATGGTATATCATAATTCATTACATGCTTTAAAATGTCATTAGTATTTTGCAAATGAATTATCACAGACTTTCACGGATGGCTATAAAATAACAAAGTCATAACTTTTGAAATTTGGTTACTGTTTTAATATTTTCATTATTCATTACTATTTTGCAGTGCCAAGATCAACCCAAGGCCGTTTGTGCATTGCAGGCAAGTACTTCCCAGCTGGACTCCATGCAGTGTTCTTATTTTCTGTTCTGGAGATCAGAGTTTACAGTTACTTTGACAATTATGTGTCACCTTTAAAGATGACAAGTATTAATTTAATTTCATTAATTATCTGGCTAATCAATAATTAATTCTGCCCACATGACCTCAAAGAGCATAGATCTAAATAGCCATGCCAGAAATTAATCTGTTCATACAGTTAGCCTTGCATAATTATAAATGAACCCCTGTAAATGGTAGGATGATTTCTTTATTATGTTTACTGCAACATGAAAGGAATCTGCAGATTTCCACAGAATGAGGTATCCAATAAGAAGAGAACCCACTTTGAAACCAGAAGCAAGCATTACTTTTTCTGCTTGGCTGAAGATTTACATCACTGATTCTACTGTGGTGTTTACTTCAGTTTTCAAACCACAGGTCTCTACTTTGGTTAAGTTGGAAAGAACAGAAGCACTATAATGCTCTATAGTTTTCAAATATTTACCTAGAATGCTATGGTTTGTGGACATTGTTAGATGCGCAATATTATCTATAGCTTTACAATGGTAAATGTGAGGTGAGATGTACTTGTTTCATCATTTACCTGCATGTGATGTGCACGCCTTAGAATGATTTGTTTATAGGTTGTATAATTAGCAGACAAAGGACCAAGATTTGACCCAACTTCCACACAGACTGCCACAGATGCAACTGCATCCCTTGTCACAGTCTTAAAATAGAAGTTATCATCAAACTGTCAGGTAGGGCTGGGCACAGTAATGCAGCATTGGGGTGACATGCCTGAGCTTGAACTTTAATACCTGCCACCACAAAATAAAAGCAATTCTCTCTCTCCTTTTTTTTGGCAAGTAGAAACACATATTTTTATTTTTGTCCATTTTTTAAATTTGAATTAGAAACAAGATTGTTTTACATGTCAATCCCAGTTCCCTCTCCCTCCCCACTTCCCCTACCATCGCCTCCCCCACAACTAATACCCAACCTATCACATATCCTTTCTGCTCCCCAGGGAAGGTGAGGCCTTCCATAGCATAGCAGGTCTTCAGAGTCTGTCATATACTTTGGGAGAGGGCCTAGGCCCACCCCATTGTGTCTTAGCTCAGAGAATATCCCTCTATGTGGGTTGGGCTCCCAAAGTCCATTCCTATGCTAGGGATAAGTACTCATCTACTATAAGAGGCCCCATAGATTACCAAGGTCTTCTCATTGACACTCACGTCTGGAACAGTCCTATGCTGGTTTCCCAGCTATCAGTCTAGGCACCAAGAACTCCCCCTTGTTCAGGTCAGTCAGCTGTTTCACACCTATGCTAGGGATAAGTACTGAAGTACTACAGGAGGTCCTGTAGATTTCCGAGGTCTACTCACTGAAACCCACGATTCCTGGGGTCTGGATCAGTCCCATGCTAGTATCCTAGGAATCAGTCTGGGGACCAAGAGCTCCTCGCTATTCAGGTCAGCTGTTTCTGTGGGTTTCACTAGCCTGCTCTGGACACATTTGCTCATCACTCATCCTTCTCTGCATCTGGATTCCAGTTCAGTTCAGTGATTGGTTGTGGGTGTCTGCTTCTACTTCCACCAGCTGCTGGATGAAGGCTATAGGATGGAATATAATTCAGTCATCAATCTCATTATCAGGGGAGGACATTTAAGGTAGCCTCTCCTCTGTTGCTAAAAGCAATTCTTAATGACTAAAATTTATAATCAAACATTATCAAACTGAGGGGAGAATTTGGAGGGGCAAGCACGATAAGGAATGCAGAGAAGAAAAAGAAGGAGTGAGTGATTTAAGTATATTTTGAATAAATGTATTAGGAAAATAAAGAGAAAGTAAGATGAGATCATGCCACCAATGAGCCATTGGATCTTAGGGATCTGGTGCTGACATTTTTCACTTCATTCATTTAGACTTGTTTATTCACCAGCCACTTGCCCTGGCAGGAGAATGGGTGAAGGAAACAAAGGTTTCAGTGGAACAGAGGATATGACAAGTCACGGGGTACTGGTGGAGCCCACTGCATCATTGGCGTGAAGAAGGGCTGGTTCTCTTCATTACAACATTAGCAGAAATTATGATTAGGTATAAGGCTGAGTTGAAAGAGCTAGTGTGAAATTTCCTGGTAGCAGAAGTGGGGGCAATTACAGAAAGAGATGAGTAGAGTATGAGGTCGAGAATTCTCCAGGACACGAAACCAGCTCAAGTGGAAGAGCAAAAAGAACATCTGGTTTTGTGTGGTTGGGGAAGCTTCCAGAAGGTTCAGGTACATGAAGGTCACAAACAGGAGTTTCCTAAACACTAGAAAATCAGCAAAAGCAAGGGCAGCTGGGAAGGTTTTCAAGTTATCGGCAAGTAACATGATTAGACAGTTGCCACGGGGATCAGAGTTAGAGAACATTCCAAATGAAGGAGAAAGTGGCATGAAGCCCAAAGTGCCATCAGACCGATTTTGGTGAAGAACAGAAGGAACCGGGAATTAGTTGGGTGGAAGAGAGGTTAAAAGGATGAAAACCGGACCAATCCAGGTTGAGCCGTTTCTATTTGTGTATCCCTTTGTTCAATTCTTAGGTCCTGGGAAAGAATCACAGCATGGTGCCTGCAAAAGAACAGTTCTTGCCATACAGCCTCCCAACGTGAGACTCCTCTATAGTTCAGAGTTTGGGAATAGTGAATTATGTATCTCCCTTTGTCACTAGACAGTAACAAACAGTTCTGCTGCAGCGCCTTACTGACCATAGTGTGGTCATCCTCATGCCAAGTCTGGGACAGTACACATGTGGTGAATGTCACCTCTGCTTACACAGGAGTGACGGGGAGGGGCAGGCATATACCACTGACTTGGTATCACCCTGAATTCCGGTTTGTTTGTTTGTTTGTTTGTTTGTTTGTTTTTAAGACTTAAAGAGAGGACAGCAAATACTTTGGGTCACCATAGCACAAAAGAAAGTGGAAAGTAAATCTAATTTTAGCAACCTTCTTAAGAAAAACAAAAACAAATTGGAACACAGGAAATGAGCTGTTTAAAAATACATTTCAACCACAGTTGTAAATCCAGAAAGGGGGGGGGGGGAGAGAAAGAAAAACAAGGAAGCAGTGCTAACTTGTTTAATTACCCTTTGCTTTGAACTGTGCGGTAAATATATGATATTTACTTTGTTACTTTCTTTAGAATCAGAAATATAATCAATGTGAAAATCCGGGGGAAAGGCACATAAGAGGAAAAACAGGGTATCAGTCCTTGAATAGAAAATTGGAACATGTTCCATAAAAATTGACTTAGAAGATGCATTCTTTCCACTCACAACAAACCATCTCCTGAAGGCCCAGTGCTTTTAAGGCAATATGCTAGTCTTTCAATGATCACAATGAGAGAAACCTTGCCAACGCTCTCTCGGCTAATGGCCTTGTGTGTTGAATTAGTCGAGACCACAAACAATCAAAATATGCAATGCTGTAAGTGAGGCCAGAATAAATTTTCCACCTGCCACAGTCAGTGCTCTGAAAATGAAAAGAGAAAAAAAAAAAAAAAAACTGTGGCAAATAAAAAAAAAAAATTCCTGAAATAGGAGAGTTGTAATTGCACTTGGTAAAAATGTAAGATGACAGTATGCACTTGTAAGAGGTAAGATCAGGTTTAATTAGTAATTTGGATCTGATCACACAGCTCTTGGTCATTCGGTCTGACAAGGTTCAATAGACATAGCATGGTTTCCCTAAAGAAAGTTAGAAAGTGGAAAAGATGTAGCAAGTGTTTAATTACCTGTTTCAAATAAAACCTGCTATCACTTCAGATATGAAAAAATGTAAGTGCTTCCAAAATGGTGTGAATATTTTCAGGTCATGCTGGGCACTGATCGATTCATAAAATGTGTCATTTAAAGGATTAGGAGAGACCTTCAATGGGGATATGTGAATTCATATTTTTTTAAAACAGGAAGTTAGCACACAGACCGGAAAGGAAACCAGGAAATTAGAATGATGTAACAAACAGGATGAGCATGCTACTGTACCGTGGGGAGATGATTGGGCTGCCTCTAACTAAGCGTTCTCCATGGTATCTGCTCGCTATTTCCCACGGCAGCATGCTATGTACAATACTACTGGACAGACAGCACACACACTGAGATCCTTTGCTCTGTGCTGAACTGAAGTGCTTACTATGTGCACTGCAGTGTGTTCCACCTACACGTGGGCTAATCGTGTAATTCCTTGTCCAAGCAGGAATCCTGTGTTATTTGCTTGCTGACAACCAAACAGATAAAACTATGCCTGTGCAGCCAACCCTGCCCATGTGTTTATTATCCACGGATACAAGACCTTGAATATCAAAATACAGTTTCTGCAGTCTTTTACGTGACAGACTGAGCACAGGATATCTCTGGGAGGGTTATTTTCACTCTGCCAACTAAGTTTTTCCAAATAGGTTACACCCTGTACTTGCCACAATAAAACAGACCGATGGAGTCCATAGACCAAGAGCTTTGCATTCCAATATTTTGTATGCTTCCTTTGAAAATACTAAGTAAAGTGGGATCACTTGTAATTTAATGTAACAGTAATATGTTGTTGCTCATTGAGTATGTTGTATCTATATGACATGAAGTTCTCTCTCCCTCTCTCTACCTCATGCCTTCCTTCCCTTCCTCATATATTCTGTTTAAACATCACAATCCCCTCCTCCTATGTCTATAGTCCATGCTTCCTTAACCTAGAAGTCTAGAAAGAAAACACATGCTAAATTTTTATTCAGGACATTAAAGTCTATATCACTGAGGTGGTGCTTAAAACGTGTTTCTATTCCTGGCCTGTACTTGTAGCCATGCTTTTCAAACATAGCCGTAGACAGTCTGAATCTCACGGTGACCCACACATTTTGTGTTCACCTGGGCAAAGGTGTGTGGGCTATTGATGTGTAACTTTTTAGAATGTTAAATTGGGTCTGAAGAGAGGACTGGAAAGATTGTTTGCCAATGGTCCCCAGGTGGTGTTGGAGAAGTCTTGGATCTATTGGTCTGAAGTCGGTCACGTGTCTGTGATCTCCACGTGCTTTGAGTTATTCCTAGTGACTCACTGCCTCTCCTTTGGAAGTTTCAAATGATGCATATGGGTTTCTGGCAAGGGATTGGCACTAAAGTTGCCTGTCTACACTTTTCCGAGTGGATGCCTCACCCCTGAAATATATGCTGAAATATATACTGAAATGTAAAAAATGTTATGTTTCTCTTGGCATTCCTCTGATCCCCAATTTTTGGCATAGGTTATGAATAATGGCTTTATAACCACACTGGCTTGAGAATTCTAGGAATTTATTAAAAGTCTAAAACTGTACACAAAGGCACCATAAAACTTTTTCCATTTTATCTGCAGATGAAATATAGTCACTTAAAAATAACTTCTCTGTTTCTAAAATTAACAAATTAATTAAATGGTAAGGTCTCCCTGCACAGCCCAATCTGGTCTCAAGGTGGTGATTCTTTTGCCTCAGTCTGGAATTATTGCAATAACCATGCCTTCCTGACAGAATATTCCAAACTCATCCCTACCAGGTAACTTACTCATTTTCTCCTTCAAAAACAGTTCCTTCACTTAGAGTCCTAGATTTGTGTGTATGTGCTACCAGGAAATCAGAACAAGTTCAGACCCCTGGAAGGGGAGGAGGAATAGCGAGAGCTAGCCATTAGAGGGACTGCCATCACCACTGCCGTAACAGCACTATTCTGTCTTCGGTTTCCTTACACAGACACTGAGACGCAGAGTGTCTCTGTCTTGTGTCTCTTGGCCAAAGTAACTCAGACATGTTTGGCTCAGGACTCAAACGTAAGTTGCTTGAATTCATAGCTTGAAAATTTTGAATTTCCAAAGCTTTTGCAAATTTCTACAACATCGATAGTTATTTCTACAACATGACCTTAAAAGGCCCTGTTCATTGACTCACGGCCTCACTAAATACGCATATCTACAGTCTACAAGGGAGTGATAGCTTTCACCTGAACACACACACAGACACACGTGCACTCACACACACTCACAGTCTCACACACACTCACACACAGCACTCACACACTTACACTCACACACGTGCACTCACACACATGCACCCACAGTCTCACACACACAAGCACATACTTACACACACACACATGCACTCACACTCTCACACACACACACTCACACACATGCACTCACACTCTCTCACACACACTCACACACATGCACTCACACTCTCATACACACAAGCACGTACTCATACACTCACTCACACACACATACTCACATACACACACATGCATTCACAGTCTCACACACACAAGCACGTACTCACACACACTCATATACACACACATGCAGTCACACACACTCACACACACACATGCACTCACACACATGCACTCACAGTCACATACACACAAGCACGTAATCACACTCA